GGCGGGGGAGGCGGCAGCGCGGCCCGGGAGGGGGGCTGTGCTGGGGGCCGGCGCGTAGCCGGCACTATGGAGGGACAGAGCGGCCGCTGCAAAATCGTGGTGGTAGGGGACGCGGAGTGCGGCAAGACGGCGCTGCTGCAGGTGTTCGCCAAGGACGCCTACCCCGGGGTGAGGGACCCGCGTTTGAGAGGCGGGCGCTGAGGCCGCGGGGGTGGGTGATTGGGGCTCGGGGGACAGGAGGGTATGAATGTACTGGGGTAACCAGGGACAAGAGTGAGGGGCTCTGAGGGCTTTGGGGTTCTGGAAGGACTGCAGAAGATTGGGGCGGGAGGAATTGGGGAGCAGGGTGAGATGAATGGGCTTTGGGAGAATCAGAATCCCGGAGGGGGCGCTAGGGGAATATAAGGGGTCCTGATCTTCGGAGATGGGGAGAACGAGGAGCTGAAGGAACCTGGAAGGGGTCTGGAAGCCTGGCAGAGATTCTGCGGAGGCAGCAGCTACCGGCTCCCCCTTTGCCTAACACTAGACCAACTTGTGCCAGGGGCTGAGCTGGACGGGGTGTGGGATTGAGGAGGGCATTCGTGTGGGCTGAAGGCTGTGGGATCTCATCTTGACCCATCCGTGTCTGCAGAGTTATGTCCCCACCGTGTTTGAGAACTACACCGCGAGCTTTGAGATCGACAAGCGCCGCATAGAGCTCAACATGTGGGACACTTCAGGTAGCCAAGTCCCCCGGGGTCACCCTGACTTCCAAGACCCGGACCCTAACCCCTCCTTCAGCTAGACTCTGAGGAGCCAGGTTAGCTCAGCTTATCCATCCAATTCTAGGAGGAGAGAAAGTCAGAATTCTGCTATAAGTCAGGGAAACTGAGGGAGAGCTTGCTGACACGCATGGCTAACATGTCCTGAAGGAGAAAGCCTAGTATCCATCCCCTCAACCCGGATTCTGCCTGCCTGGGAAAGCCGAGAAGGGATGGCTTTTATGTTGGAACATGTTCCTTAGGAGATGGGGCTAGATTTAGGCAAGACATTTAGAATTTCTTTGGGGGGAAGGGGAGACTGTTTCTCTGGATTTAACTAGAATCTCTGATCAGGTCCCAAGAGGACCTGCTCCCCCCAGACCCCTAGAAATGGAGGAGGGCTTCCCTGGAGGACTTTGGAAGATGTCTGTAAAGCCCAAATAGCACATGCAAAATTTTGTGAGAATGTGTGTCTTCTCAAAGACACAGAAAAGACTAAGAATTACTCTTTAGAGAAATCCTTAGGGAAGTAAAGAACTGTTTTCTGCCTTCTGCTCCCCTCCTTGGAGAAACACAGACCCCCTGGTGGTTATTAACAACAGCTCTTTTCCATTATCTGGTCAAGCATCCCTTGACCAGGATTGCTAAGGTCTCCCATTCCCTTCCAGGCCTCCCACCCACTCAGGACCCTCGTCTGTTCCCTCCCTGTCTTCTCTTAGGTTCCTCGTACTATGATAACGTCCGGCCCCTGGCCTATCCTGATTCAGACGCTGTGCTCATCTGCTTCGACATTAGCCGACCAGAAACTCTGGACAGTGTCCTCAAGAAGGTGGGAGCCCGGGGAAGCAGAGCGGCTAGACTGAAGAGAACCAGAAACAACATAGTCCTGACACAGTGGGCAGGAGGAGAAAGTGGGGCACGGCCATTAGCCATGTGTGAAGTTTTTCATTCCCTATTCTCCCACCCCGTTTCCTGGAACTAAGTCCCCACTGCTGGATAGGCATCAGGGGAGTTGAAGGCTGAACTGGGAGAAGTACCCAAGGGATTCCTTATTGACTCCTTCCGGCGTGGGTGTGGGAGCCCCACGCAGAGGACAGGGATGCTGCTCCCAGGGCTCTGGAAAGCCCTGTGGCCCCCTATCCAGAGCTCTGTTCCAGAAGCAAAGCCCTGCTGAAAGGACCTGAGTCAGCGGAGGCAGACATGGTTCCATGGGGGAGGGGAGGTCAGAACTGATCTGTTCTCAGAAACAAATCTGGAGAAGGGGTGGGAACGGGAAGGTCACAGGCTGGCAGACCCTGCATGACCCTTGAGGTGGAAGCAGGGCCCGCAAGCCTACAGCCGCACTGCTATCCTCTCCCCCCTCCTCTTTTCCTTCACCCCAATCTCGCTTTCAACCCAAGCCCACTTATCCCCATTTCCTTCACAGGGGAAGGTCCAGAGGGGTGCAGGTTCCTGTGTGTGTGAGAAGGGGCATTCTCCTGTGTGAAACAGGGGATCACCTTGGGCCTCCTTCTGCCTTCCGTAATGATTCCTTCTCCCATATAGTGGCAAGGTGAGACTCAGGAGTTTTGCCCCAATGCCAAGGTTGTGCTGGTTGGCTGTAAACTGGACATGCGGACCGACCTGGCCACACTGAGGGAGCTGTCCAAGCAGAGGCTTATCCCTGTCACACATGAGCAGGTGGGCACACTTGGCCTGACCCTAGGCCTCCCTATCCTTGCTGTGCTGCAGGCTAAGTCCATAACTTCCTCCGTCCACTTGCCTTCTAGGGCACTGTGCTGGCCAAGCAGGTAGGGGCCGTGTCCTACGTGGAGTGCTCCTCCCGGTCCTCCGAGCGTAGCGTCAGGGACGTCTTCCACGTGGCCACAGTGGCCTCCCTTGGTCGCGGCCATCGGCAGCTTCGCCGTACCGACTCACGCCGGGGACTCCAGAGATCAGCCCAGCTGGCGGGACGGCCAGACCGGGGGACCGTGGCTGAAGGCGAGATACACAAGGATCGAGCCAAGAGCTGCAACCTCATGTGAGGGCCCAGGGTGGGGTGGTGTGAGGGAGGGCACACTTGTTCCCCTGCCTGTACCAGGGTTTCTGACCTCCTCATTCTGGCTGGGACTTCAGGGCAGGCCTCATGAGCCATCCTGAGCAGGGAGCTGCAGGCAGAGGGTGCCAGCATTCCTCACATCTTCACCCCCCTCCTCTCTACAGGAAGTTGAGAGAGTAGCAGGGCTGGCATCTGGGCCGAGAGCTGGATAGGCAGGGGGTTGGGGAAACTGGCATCAAGCAGTGACCTTGACTGTCTCAGAATATGAAGGGTGCCTTCCCTCCGCCCCTGTGACATCTCCCAGTCCTGGCTTCCTTCCCTAAGGAAAGTGTCATGCTTTGACCTTCCCTTTTTCTCTCCTCTCACTTCTCCAGCTGATCTTAATCATTCTAACCTCCAGGCAACATGCACTAAATTACAAAGCAAGTTGAGAAGCCCCTCACTGGTCTATACCCACCAACCCTACCTTCTCCCCTTCCCTCTCCAATAGTCACCAATAAAGCCCATGTCCTTGGGAAATGGCTCTGGCTTTATTTGTTGCTTTCTTAAAAAAAAAAACAAAAAAACATTCTGCCAATCTCTAGCAGGAGGGAAAGTTAGCCTTCAGGAAGAACTTTCCTATCTGTGCCCACAGAGATATAGAGCTGAGGCAGGACCTTGGGCCAGATTAGCAATGTCTTTTTAGGAAGGGGTGGGGGGGTGCTGAGACATCTTGGGAATAGTCATCTCAGTTTATGGGCCAGACAGCCCTAAGGCCATCGCTGTGACTCAGCTGACCCTTCCCCCATTCACCCCCTGTGGGAAAGGGTCTGTGTAAGTGGTCCAGGCCTCTCATTCACCAGCCCCACCTCTTCTCTCCCGACTTGGAATCTGCAGGTGCCCTGGGACTTGTGGGGGTGGGGAGGGCATCAGGAGCCTTCAGTCACAGAAGTCAACCCTGTGCCCTGGGAAGATTCCCCAAGAGGACAGTAGTTTGATTGTGGGGGTCTCCTCAGAGCAGAGCATATCCTTTCCATCCCAAATAGGACTGTAGAGGGAGCATCAACTGTGAGTTTAGGGTCACCCCCTCTACCCCACTCCCTAGAGAAGGAAAGCCAGTTGAGGGGCCGATGGGAGCACTTGTTTTCAGGAAAGACAGAGCTGGTCTGTTTTCTTGGGAGTCTGGTTTCACATTGTCCTGTATTCCCTCCCTGGCTCTGGTCCCACTGGCCTCTTTTCGGTGACATTCTCCCCCAGGAACCATCCCTGGCCCTCCCCTCCCCCAGTCCCAGTCATCTCTTCCAGACACACTCTGGGAGAGAACACAGACCTTACCCTCCCATCTGCAGGGACTCCCCCAAAGCCCCCCACTTCACAGCCTGTCCCTCCATCATTCATTCAGCAGATATGTGCTGAACACCAACTGTGTGCCAGGCACGGGCTGGAGATTCTGAAAGGACCAGCCTGTGCTCTGGGGGACAGCCCAATGGGGAAAAGAGGTGCCCCAGGTGTGCGGGTGCCTGGCTGCGGAGCGACTTGCCTTCTTGGGAGCCAGTCTGTGGCCAGGTCCTGAGGGTGAGGAGTTTGCCAGGCAGTGCAGACACAGGAAAGCCCTCTTGGCAGAGGGGATGGCACGTGCAAACATGTGGCGGTGAGGAGGAACAGGCAGTGGGCTGCCCTAGAGAGGAGGGCAGAAGATGGAGCCGGGGACAGTAGATCAGGCTGCAGCCCACCGAGGTACCAGGGTTTCTTCTGAGGATGAGAGGAGCCGTCAGGGATTTCAAGCAGAGAATGAAGTGCCCAGATTTGGTTTTTAGGGGATGGCTCTCTGGATGGGGTGACAGAGGCTGGGGCTCTGAGATATGCCATTTCAAATAGTTTGGGCTTTCACTGTACCAGAGCCCTGTCTCAGGACCGGAAACCACCCACTCCTGGCTCATCTACCCCTTTCCCTTCCTCTCCTGCAGGACCCTGTCCTGGCCCATCTCAATCTCCTCAAGAATTCCAGGACAGTTTCAAACCCCACTGGGCATGCCATACTCACACCAGAGACCTGGTTAATGGCTGCCTCTGGGAGCCCCCCCCCCAGACCCTGAGTTTCAGATTAAGGGTGGTGGAGAGGGCCAGGGGTCCCAGACAGCTAGGTGACCCAGTGGATTCTCAAAGGGCTGACCCTTTATATATTCACTTGGGATTTGGGGCCACATGGTTTATCTTTTCCACACTGAATTTTGGCAAAAAGCAGGCTCGGGCCTGTAGCCTCCAAAGTGCAGTTTTCATGCCCTCTCTCCTCTTCCCACCTCCTCATCCTGTGCTCAGAGCTCAGGGAATGCAAATGCATTTCAATATCTGCCTAAAGCAAACATAATTAGGAAGATAAATCAGTTGGAGGAACCCCCAAAGTTTAATACACTTCCAGCACCACGGGGATCAAATTTCTGTTCCCCTGGGGTCTGGGTTGCCAAGCATTTCTGGAGAGGGGGCCTCAGTGTAGGAGGAGGGATGTGGCTGCTCCATGATCCTCAAAGGTGCCTGCAGGCTGGAGAGAGGGGACCTCAAACCCCCAACCCCTTGCACATGCTGGAGTCAGACTTAGCTTCCTTCTCCACAGTTGTTTCCCCAACAAATTTGAGAAACAATGTCGCCTCGCTAATCATTTAATGAAATAAACAACTAACCACAAGTGATGCTGCCAGTGCTTTTTAACCTCCACAATCAGTCTGCCCAGGAGGGAGTGGGGAGGATGGTGGGGAGGGGATATGGGTGTGTGCGTGGGGTGGGTTGGGGAGGAATTTCAAGTGAAACTCAACTGCAGTCAGTTCTGACCTGAAACCTCCCTGATGCTGGGCCATCCATCCCTTGAGACTCAGGCCTCCCCAGGAGGGACAGTCGTGAGAGTTTGGGATGTGGAGGCGAAGGTCCACAGCTGGCCTGGGACCCAGCTCGCTGCTTCCTCCCCTGGGAACCTTTACGGAGGCCTAGGCCTTGTGCCTTTAGAAACTCAGTTTTCACATCTGGAAAAGGGAGCTGACCACGTCTACCTATTGTTGAGGAATATGGAGAGAAAAGGGCTTTCGGTGAGGGCTGAGCTGACTCTTCACAAGTTAGACACATAGGCCAGTGCCTTTGAGGCAGACCTGTGGGGATCAGGAAAGGCTTCTTAGAGGGGGCTTCTGGGATGGGGGTTCAAAGTTGGGCAGTATAACAAAAGCCAGGAAGGGGGAGGTCGCTATCTCCCCACACTGATTCTGAGAGCTAAGGCTTATCAGTGACTTTGAAAGGTGGCAGCCCTTAGCCTTCATTTTTTTTTTTGAACTCCCCCATTATCTCTTTTAAGACTCCAGGTGAGAAGTGATGGATGTAATAGTGACCTCAGTTGGATGGGTCCTGCAGGCTGCAGGAGGCAGCCAGTGGCCTGAGGTCCCCCGTGGACACCAGGGCCCCGGCAGGGGAGGTACAGCTCTAGCCTCTTCCTCTATTCTTCCCCTCCTCTCCCAACAAAGGAGTTTCTTCTACACAATGCAGCCCTCCGCCCTCCTTCCCTCTTGCAGCTGGGTTCCCAAGTCTCCCTCCATCTCCAGTTAATCCTCTGCTCCCTCTCACGGCTGACGCTGACATGAGGGTCAGAGGAAGGAGGCTCCAGGTCCAGGCTACCCCCAGCAGCCAGAGACAAGAGGGACATGTACATACGTGCGTGCCCCTCCCCCCAAGAAAAATGCCTCTGCTGTTGACTCCTAAATAACAGATGTCTGTCTGCATATTAATGAGACTGGACGAATAATTGGTGAGTTTTTCATTCAGTGTCAGAATGAGCCCGGAGGCCTTACGTTCATGCACACTGACACCCACTCACCCTGACGTTCCCCTCCCCCAGAGCACAATGAGCCAGACACAGATGCTGGCAAGCTTGACCCAGAAAAGGAGGGGCAGACAGGGAACTGGATGAGGGTGTCAGCAGGAGGGTGACCTCCACAGTCTGGGGCCTGGGTCTGTCAGGTTCTCCTCTGGATCACTGTCTTCCCAGGCTCCCAGGGGCAAAAGCTAGCATTTATTAGATCTTACTACTATTCAGAGGGAGGACAGAGGAATGTGGGGGCCAGGGGATAGACCGGGCTGGGCACAGGGGAGAGGAGGAGGCAGGTGCTGCCCAGGGGAGAGCAACAAAGCAGTGACCTCGGGTGAGCTTGTGCTTTTCCTTAGCCCAGAATCCCAGGCCCGGACTCTGCTTTAGGTCCTGTGCCAGTGTGGCATAGGAAGAACGCAAGATTTTAAAAAATATTTACTTATTTGTGCATACAAGACCTGGGGTACAGGCCGGAGGTGCGGGGGATGAGAGGATTCACCAGTGGGGAACAGAACAGGCAGATCTACTTAAGCGCACTGCTGAGGGGAGCAGCAGGCAAGACAGGAGAGGTCTCCATGTGGGTCAGCTCCCTGATGGGGAATCCAACTCTACTGCAGTGTTTGTGATAGCTTCAGAGAGCTGTGGTTTAACCCATTGGGCCACCAGGCAGGGCCCATAAATGCAGGTTTTTGAGCCAGATGACTACCATCTATTTGCTGGTGGGTGATCTTTGTATATGTATGTGTGTAGAAGTACTGGGGCCAGAGGTGTGAGGGGCAGTAGGGGTGAGAGAATTCACTAGAGACAGAGTGGGGAGCAGAACAGGTGGATCTACTGAAATCCACTGCTGGGGGGAGCAGCAAGTGAGTCAGAAGAGATCAGCAGCGCCTTGTGGGTCAGCTCCCTGGCTGGGATCAATTTAGGTCATCATGGTGGGTGGTTGAGGATAACGCTGAAACTTAACCTCTAGACCACCTGGGAGGCCCATCAGCTGTGTGCTTTTAAGCAAGTTACCCAACCTCTCAGAGCTTTGCACTCTCCTTATCTTAGATCTTACTACTATGCAGAAGGAGCCCATGGTCTCTGAACACCTTGCAGCACTGGAAGGATGAAGTGAGATGAAGGATGTCATGTCTCTTAAATGTTTGGTTTAGAATAGGCCCCAACACATGCTTGTTCTCTCCACCTACCCCCCAAACACACTAAGACAGTTTCAAATTGCTGTTGTCTCCTGGCAGACCCATCCTTGTTAGGGCAGGGGCTAATTAGAAGTTTAGTAATTATCCTGGCTGCCTGGAAACCAGGAGGAAAAGATAGAGACGGGCACGAACAGGGAGAGAGATAAGACAGACACAGTGGAGAGAACAGATGGAAAACCACGGCTGCAGTAGGAGCGACCACAGACATCCAGACTGCAAGACCGGAGTGGGGAAGGTTCCGCAGGCAAGGGAATGCACTCTGCAGAGAGCGCAGAAGCTGGACGGTGGGTTCTGGAAGCCCCAGTTCTGCCATAAGTCACTGTTGGACCTTAGCAAGTCTCAAGTCCTCTTTGTATCTCAGTCTCCTCATCTGTACGTTGAGGGGGTGGATTGCTCTCCAAGACCCCTTTCCATTGTGTGAGGGAGAGGCGCGGGCCCTGCCCCGTGCTCGAAGCTCCATCAATCACTCTTGCTCCGTTTCCTCTCTCACTTAGTAACT